AAAATACGGACAATTAACTATTTTGCAGGAGTGTCTCACTTTGAAATCCACTAGAATGATGATGTGGGATGCTAACCCACTTTTCTTTCTCAGAATCATACATTTACTCATACAAGGCTGCATATGAACCAAGACTGTCTTGTCTTGCTTGTTGATACATGACCCAGGACAACAACCACTGTTGTGAATGAATTCTACCACTGCCCTATAGGGTAAACTGGGTCTGGGGAAACAGAGAGTAGAGAAGATCTGCTGTCAGCCTACCTGATCATCTGGCAGACATGGTCTGTGACTGAACAAGGGATAGCTGCCTGAGTTGGGGGCTGGGACACAATGACGAAGAGATGTGGGAATGCAAGTGGGGGTGGTCTTTAGGATCCACAGGAGGCATGGACAAGGAGGAGGGGAATCTGCAGCTGGTGTTGTGTTGTAGCACTTAGGGAAACCCTGAGGATTGGGTCTGGGGTAACAGAAATAGTGGAAAAGGTCCATGAGTAGCCTAATTGGGCTTCTGGCAGGTATTGTCTGTGTGTCCTCCAAGTTTTCTTACTGAGAGTTTGAGTTTTTCAATTTCATCTTCATTTAAACTTGAATCTACTTCAACATTCCTCTCTTTTAATTGAATTCAGTATTCAATAAAATATCAGTATTCAAAGAATTATCTTCTTCATTTCATTCAGCCCAGCTGTATATTTTCATTTTGGGGGCAGGTCATTACTCAAGCATTTATTGTCCTCCTTTTGGAGTTCAGTGAAATGTTTACTTGTGCCTTTTTTAATTACCTAAATCTTTGATAAAATTTATGATTATTCTTTTAAATTCTATGTCTTGGTGTTCATAGGTAGTTCTCATTAGAGAATACTTCTATAAGATTAATGGGTTCAACAAGAGGAACGCTGTCTCGGCCACTCATGTTGGTTTGATTTTACAATTTGATGTAGGGATGTAGACTTCCTTCTTTGGTTGTGTGTCTGATGTGATAATCTGGCCTCCCTACATTGGGCAATTTCATGACCTGAACTAGGGCAGGGAAAGCTAGAAGATGAGCTGTTTAAGTGGACCAGGAAAAGGTCTCTCAAACCATTGGTCTGGAGTCAGACCTGTAGGTGCAGAGATGGCAGAGGGCAAGGGAAAGGACAGTAGAGAAAAGGAGTGACTTGACAGTCAAAGACAGCTTTTGAAGAAAGCATGTTTGAAGCCCACCTCTCCGAAGCTAAACCTGTGGGTGTTGAGATTGCTACAGTCAGGTTGGAATTGGAGAGGATGGGGAGATGTATAGGAAAGGCAAGAAGAAGCTACTCACCCAGCAGTGGTGCCTTAGTAACAAGGGGGATTCCTAGGGTATAGTCTGGAACAAGGCTTGTGGATTTGCAGATAGTGGGGAGGAGGGACAGTGATGGCAAAGGGAAGAAGTGACTCATCAGGCAGAGGTGGTTAACATGTGAGGAGGGTTCATGGCCACAGATCTAGAACTAAGCTTGTGGGATTTTTAGACAGTGATTATTTTGGGGAAGAGCATGGAAAGGGAAGATGTTTACTATGTTATGTTACACCTCTGTAAACCTCATGTCATTAATCAGAATAAAACTAATGACAATTAAATTGAACAGAATAGAAAGTGAAAGAAGAATGAGCTTCTATTGCATAAGTATTCCTACTTGCAAAATAATGTCATTTAATACAAATAAAAAAGTTTACAATACAGATAAGAGAAATTCAGCATTTATTCAAGGTCTTAACATAAAATGCACAATGAAAACAGAGTACAGAGCATCCAAAATACCATAAGAACTTTTATAAAGAGCAAGTAAAAGACTATATTCAACAAGGTAATAGTAACTATAACATATATTTGTTAAATTTTGTGTGAAATAATATTTGAGGTCAAACCAAAGGTACCAATCTCAAAACTCATACAAATGTTAACTCACCTATCACGAGATTTTTAGTTTTGTTTGAGAAGGAAAACCTGACACTGTCACTTATATAAAACAAGTAGCTGAATAATAATTTAAACCTGTGATAATAAAAAGTATCTGTAGAGATGTAGCAGATAAAGTGTATAGGCAAATGCTTCAATGCTTATCCATAAGAAACTAGCTAAACACACAACAAAGCACTATATAAAAATATAAAGAAAGAAATAATGAAAGTCAAATATTGTGATGTACATATATGGAAAGAGTTCAATGTTATGTTGTAAATTTTAACAAAAATGGAATGTGGCCATTGGGATAATATAGAAGAGAAAAAAAGACTGAGCTTACATGTTTATAAGTTCTTACTTATCCTGTGTGCATGTAAATGCATGTACATGCTACTGTTTGAGTGTGTATATAGGACAAGAGATCTGTGGTAGTCAGTTCTCTCATTCGACCACATGGGCCTCCTGGATCACACTTAAGTCACGTAGTGGAGGCATGCACCAGATGGACCATTTCACTGTCCCGAATGTGAGTGTTTTTATGCAGGTTTTTTTTTTTTCAAATAAGCACATAAAAAGTAGAATGAAAACTAGTTAAAAAAATTGTCACTTGGGTAAGCTCTTTGGGAAGTGTCTAGTTCTTGTTCTTGGGCAGGAATCATAAAGCCTGAGAACCAGGTTCTCATGACTGAGAGCTACACACGTGTCAGAAAATATTAAGATAATAGCAGAGTGACTCAGTAACAGCTTGGAACTCTTCAGTTGAGTTCCCAGTCGCTGAGGATTATTAGATATTACTTAAACTGTGAAAATGTGTTAAATTCCAGGAATTTATAGTGATCATTTTCAAAATGGTAATGATGCGCAAATATATTAATAGAATCAATTTATTCCAAAAGTTGGAAAAAAATGTTATATAGTCTGTTTTTCTAGGTATGTTGTAGGTATTTTATACATGAAAAGTTTTCCTCATTGAGTAAGTAGATATTTAAATATTTAAAGAGAAAGGAGAAGGGGAAGGAGGGAAAAGGGAGAGAGGAAGAAAGGAATGGAGGGACAGAAAAGAGTGAAAAGGTAAAAAGGGGAAGAAGAGTGGGGAGCAAAGGGAAGAAAAGAAAGGGAAATAGGAGGGGAGGAGGAAGAGGAGACTAGGAAAAGGAAGGCTAGGGGAGGGGAGGGAACGGAGGGAAGGAAAGGGGAGAGAAAGGAAGAGAGAGGAAGAGGGGAGGGGAAGGAAAAGAAGAGAGGAGAGAGAGAGGGGACGGAAGGCAGAAAGAAGACATGAGGAGAGGGGAGGGAGAGGATGAAGGGGAGAAGAAACAGGAAGAGAGGGGAGGGAGGGAGGAGAAAAGTAAGAAGCAGGGAAGGTGGAGGAAGAAAGAATTTATCACAATCCATGAAAAATATAAAAAAAAATTATTCTGTGATTTAATGAGGGACAGCATAAGGGAAATTCCTGACTGTATTCACAGAGATGAGAAACAGAATAAGGAGCAAATGATAAAGGGAAACATGGCTTGCAACTTTACAAGAAAGACTGTCTTCCAAGCAGAGTCCCATTGCACCTGTTGTGTCCCAGTGCTCACCCACAGGCCCCATTCCCACTGATGCATTCAGTTTCTCAAAGACTGACTCAAATGTACATTTTGTGTCTAATGTTACTTAATAACCAAGTCCCTTTAAAATATTTTTGAGATTATAATATTATTACATCATTTTCCATTTACTATCCTCTATCCAAACCCTCGAGTGTACCCCAAACTGCTATCTTTCAACTTCAGATCCTCTCTTTTCATTAACATTTGTCACATTATTTGCTATCTATCTATCTATCTATCTATCTATCTATCTATCTATCTATCTATCTATCTATCTGTCTGTCTGTCTGTCTGTCTGTCTGTCTGTCTGTCTGTCTGTCTGTCTGTCTACCCACCCATCTACCTATCATCTATCATCCATCATCTATCTATCTATCTATCTATCTATCTATCATCTATCTATCTATCTATCTATCTATCTATCTATCTACCATCTATCTATCTATCTATCTATCTATCTATCTATCTATCTATCTATCTATCATTCTATCTACTATCTATCTATCTATCTATCTATCTATCTATCTATCTATCTATCTATCTACCATCTATCTGTCTATCTATCTATTTATGTATCATATAGCCATCCACCCACTTATCATCTATCATCCATCAATTAACTGATCAATCTATTAATTGATCTATCATCTGTATCTACATACATATGTGAAAACTGTGACTATATATGGTCTTAAGTATATAATATATAACCTTCTTAGTATATCTCTCTCTCTCTCTCTCTCTCTCTCTTTCTCTCTCTCTCTGTTTGTGTGTGTGTGTGTGTGTGTGTGTGTGTGTGTGTGTGTGTGTGTGTATACATGTAACTTTTTTTTAGAGCTGACCATTTGATTCTTGGTAACCAATTGATGTTTTCTTCTGTGGAGAAGAATATCTCTCCTGTTCTCAGCATTCCTTAGTTTCTTGTAGTTCTTTGTAGAGGGCTGAAGCATTTAAAGATAATCTCTACTTCCTCAGCTTTCAAGCATCTAGAGAAAAGGCACTATTGATTCATATTTTGAACGCTTAATCAGTAAGAGACAAATATCAAAAACTTGGTAAATCAGCAGTACAATTTGTTCAATTCCTTTTCTTTTCTGGTGAATAGCTGATTTTGTTTATATGTTTATAGTTTTCATTAGTTTTCTGCTCTATCAAGCTTGAATGACATCTAATTGTTTTTAAAATTATGAACATATCAATACTTTCATTTGAGTTGGTAAAGATGCTGTGATTCATAACAACCAATAGACAAAATTATATCATGGAGGAAAAATAAGTTGATTTAATGGATGCATTTGGGAGTTGCGGTATCATATATGATGGACAAATAATCAAATGAAGGAAAAATCAAAACTCATAGAAATGTCACTGTAATTGAATCATTTTGAAGCACCGACTGATAAACCTTACATATATACTACGGTTCAGAAAATGTGAGAGTAAAAATGACTAATATTCAATATGAAAATATTCTTGTTAGAGAATAAATATTTTGAACAAGGACATCTTGAAATACAATCTCTTGAAAGAACAAATGTCAAACTGAAAATCAAGTTGAGCTATAAAAATTTTCTTCCACTGTTGGAGTTGCTTATGGTAAGATTATAAATATAAGCTTGTTATTTTCTTCTAATTTTAAGATCTTAAATTGATACTAAATGAGTTCTAACATGGGTAATAACAACTTTATTCCTAAAATTTATTAGATACATTGAAAACTGTGGCTAGATACATTCTAATACTTCAGCAGTTCTATAACTTATTCCTGAGAGTTTCAAGCAGATTTTAACAGAATTTATTTATTATGAACTAATTCATTCAAATGTTCTTAGGCTTTCATAAATTGATTAATTTTTTTTTTACATTTGACAACTTTCTCATTATGTGTGTTTCTAGAAAAGGGCATTTTCAACTTTAAATCAATTGTCCAAAAAGATACTCCTTGTTTTCTAATGTTGCAGAATCATCTCTTCTTCATAGTTCGTTTCATCACATTTATTACTTCCTTATTTCTCAGACTGTAAATGAAAGGGTTTAATAAAGGAATTACTAGGGTATAGAAAATAGCTACAGGTATGTCTTTATCTCCTTCATTGACTGAATGTGGTTGAGCATACATGAAGAGAAGAGACCCATAGAATATTGATACAGACAGAAAGTGGGATGCACAAGTTGATAAGGCTTTGCCTCTACCCTCATTAGATTTCATTGTGAATATAGTGAAAAGGATATAAATATAAGACACTAGAACTATGGTAATAGTAAATATTTGAATTGACCCTGCCAAAATAAATAATATTAGCTCATTGATATGTGGATCAATACAGGAGATTCTGTATAATGGAAGGACATCACAAAAGAAGTGCTTAATTACATTAGACCTGCAGAAAGTTAACCTCAACAAAAGCCCCACTTCAATCATAGGGTGCAGGTTTCCTGCTATGTAGGCTCCTGTGGTCATCTGAAGGCAGAGCTTCTTGGACATCATGGTGTGGTATTGCAGTGGGTTGCATATGGCCACATAGCGGTCATAGGCCATTGCTGCCAGAAGAAAGCAGTCTGTAGTTTCAGCCAGACAGAGAAAATAGAACTGTACCATGCATTCATAGAGAGAAATCTTTCTGTCCACAGAAAAGAAATTCTCTAGCATCTTGGGAGTGATGGCACAGGAGCAACAGGAATCCATGAGAGCCAGATTGCCCAGGAAGATGTACATGGGTGTGTGAAGACGGCGTTCCACGTAGATCAAGGCCACCAGTCCGAGATTTCCCACCATGGTGATCAGGTAGATGGCAGAGAACACCAGGAACAGGGGGGTCTTCAGGTTTGGGTGATCTGAGAATCCCACTAGGATGAACTCATTTGTCACAGAGTAGTTGTTCTCAGCCATCTCACTTTGTCTGTTGCCTCTGTAATTACAAAGATATAAAATTGTGATGCTAAGAATAAAATTTTACTTATGTTTTCTTTTTATAAAAGGGAAATTTTTACCTTATGTACCTGCTACTGTCTCTGTGTGATTATTTAATCTTGTACAGTATTGGCATGCATGACCTCCAAATTTAACTCACAATTTACAGGTATACTTTTATTGTTACAAACTTGAACATTTTTTTAATTTGAAAAGGTTTTTCTTTGTGCATTTATGTAAGTATATCATAAAAATTTAGGGCACACATATTTGATTTATTGTTCCAAAATACTTTAGAAGCCAGGTTTGTTAAAGATCACTGAAATAAATTTAGAATAAAATTATAAATGTGTTTTCATTTAACTGAAACTTTTTAATGTATTCATCAGGAAGAGAAAAATGTTTTTTGAAAACATATTGTCAATATATTAAATTTATTTTTATGAATTGCACAAAGATTACTAAGGACAAATGAATGTGTAGTTATCTGTAAATAAAATTACCCAAAAGTTAAAGAAATGAAAATTTTTAAACAATGAGTGTGTTTATGTTATTATTCCCATTGAGTTTTTGAAATATTTAATACCTTCCTCTGCTTTGTCAAGCTAGTTTGCATGTGATGTTATTTACACTTGTGCCTGACTGTCTTGTCTACCATTGAACTGCTTTTCCCAGTCATTTATTTAAAAAAAAACTTTGAATTTTGAGACAATCTCATTGCTATCCCTTCTTTCCTTGAATACTCTCTGAAGCTCAGATAAACTTTCAATTTCCAACCCTCTGCCTTAGTTTCCTAAATAGCAAGGATTACTGACCTGCATTGACAAGACTTACCTAAAGTTCACATTTCTTGTATATAATCTACATTGCCTTATTTTTCTATTTGTATTTGAACACTTTTACTATACTGAAAGCCTTTTGAGCTTATGTGTGTACTACTTCTGTGAAACATGTTATCAAATGTTTTGAGGAGAGATACAGTTATCTACACTCCTGACTTCATCCTGATGACCTGGGAGGGGTGACTTTTCTTTCAGTATACTAATGCACCTTTTTAATCAATTCTTTGTTTTGCATTGGTGTTATTGTGAGGAAATATCTACAAAGTAAATCTTGATGTCATTATCTTATGAAAAATATTATCTTAAAAATTTTAAACTTGATTCTCTAAAACTTACACCAAATCTTAGACTGCATGGGAAGCACGAAAGTTCACCTTGTATGCAAAAAGTTACAAAATAACTAGAATATAAAACAGAATGGAATATGAAAGTTTTGGAACTATAAGGCCATCTTGTTCAAGACCACCTTGGAAACCTATAACAGATATTTAAATACTATATGAAAAGGCATCTTTAATATACTTTTAAAAAACATTTGAAGTAATTAGCTATGAGTAAGTGTGTGTAAAAAATCATTTCCCTCTGAGGACACCTTGTCTTTTGAAGGAGATAGGGTGAAAGGGAGGTAGGACAGCGATATAGTTAAGGCTTCAGCCAAGGATATACTTCGATGCAGGAATGCTGAGGTTGCCATAATCATATGGGGGCTCCTCCCAAGCTGCAGTGTCTCAGACAATGGTGATGAGGGGGACATGCCATGGATGCCATGCAGTTTGCAATTTGTTCTTGCAGCTCCCACACTTACTGTGATTGTTCTGTCTCCTCCGGTGATTCATTTCTGCAGTGACATACACGCAGTAGGTTTTGCTCAGATTTTAAAAACAGTACATGTAGCAGCCTGCAGAGGGATCTTGTGCATACAGAGCATCCCGCTTCTCGGCATCAGTGATCTCAATGAGATCCCCATTCTGAACATGAACTAGAAAGCCGAGCTCTGACCAAGATGAAAGCCAGGACATCTCCACACCCCACTTCCAAGAGAGTGGGTGTGTGAGGGTGCTGCCACCGGGCAGGCATACAGCCTGGACAAAATGTCTGCAAGCTCTTGTTCTCAGAGTTTTGACAGGCATACACATTGATGGGTATGAATATTTTTTAACAAAAAAAAAATTACAGTGAGTTTTACAGTGACCTGTGCTTTCTTGAAAGCTTACTGAGCCTGATGCTTGCAATCCCAGCTGGGAACAGACCTCTTCCACAGATTTATGGCTTTCCCAGGCACCTCAAGCATCAGGGTGGGCAGTCTGACTTGAGCAGGGCCAAGAAAAAGCATTATTCTTCTGCCCTAGCAGGGTAAGTCTTCTGAGACTGCATTCGTTCTTTATAGAAATATGAATGCTGAATGCTGAATTTATTTTTTAAATAATAGTAAAAATACATTTTTTTAAAATAAAAAATGGAAAAATGCACAGAAAACAGCACACACACACACACACACACACACACACACACACACACACACACCCTGATATAACACTGTGCTGTTTTCCTGGGGTTGTTTATTTTTATCTCTTTGGCTTGGCTGGCTGGTTTGCAATGGTATTTTATTCTAATCAAAAGTAAGGTTTTAAATGGGACCAGAGATTACTAAGTTCTTACTCACCCACTCTCCAACCCTGATTCAGCTGTGTGGAAATTTCTCTACCTGCTGACAAAGCAGAACCCTTGGCATCCATGAAAATGCTGCAGCCCAGGATCCCTGCCAGCATCAGGCATCAGATGCGTTTGGCAAGGCTTAGCAGCCAGAGAACCAGGATGATAGTTAAGTTTTTGCCTGTGATTCAAGAACAAGGGGCTTCCTTCTCCCTCCCTGGGGAGGACTGTCTCACCCTTCACCTTCAGTCCAGGGGCTGGGGCTTAGGAGCCAGGTATGAGAATCTACCCTTGTCCCAATACCTCGCCCATGCCCATGCCCATGCCCCTGACTCAAGCTGGTGCTACCTAAGAAAGTTTTCCTCTTGCTAGTCCAGTCAGACATGGAGAAGGATTCAAAGGAGGGTGTAACTGTGAGACAAAATGTCTTGGTTGTACCTGTTTGGGGATTAGCTTTGTGTTTAAATAGCAAACACAACAGGAACTAAAGTTGAGACTTATTTCTCATTATAAAAATAAAGCAAAAAAATAAAATATTAAAAAACATTAACTAGAAACATTTTGATTTTCTGTTTCCTTGGAAAACTATGCTCTCCAAGGTGTGCCCTGCAGGTTAGAGCCTCATGAGATGGATTAATTTCTTATATTTTTTTTTAATTTCTTATATTTTTAAACCTTAAAGATAAAATAGCTTAAATTCTAAAAATTTGCATCCAATTTCATTTTGTTTTAGACTGCTACTAGCTCTTAATACTTACTGATTCATTGGGACACAATGAATGACAAATTTAATTATATAACTTTATGCCCAAAATGGTTTTGTTTTTCAGTAATCAAAACATTGAGAGAAGGTAATCGAAATTTATTTGTTCAGGAATATTTTATATGACATATCTGAGTCATTATGGGAAATTACTTTAATATACACCTGAATTATTTAGGTGATTAATTTGCAAACTTACCTAAGTATTTTGGGATTCTACCTTGTAAACATAAGGTGAAGTGGATTACAGTATTGTATTTCAACTTGCTTCCACATATCTTTGAATTGTATGATGGGCTACACACTCAAGAAAGGAGTTAAAATTTAGGAGAGAAATGAACATTTGTTTAAAAATTAGTAAAGAAAACATTTGGCATGCAGATATTTAAGGTAAAAAGTTATCTTACCTGGATTTCACTGAGGAGCACTTTCTGAAAGTACATATTTGCCTTACAGACAAGGCAGAAATTAATAACAGGAATGTACCTTGATCTCGCAAAAATTGAGATGGGAGAAACCAAGATCCCGGCTACCCACCTGTAATGACAGCTATCTACCCTGTACTGCAGACTTAAAGCCTTCTGTCAAATCCCGAGAGGATTTCCCAGCACTGACATCAGTACTTTTCTGTAGAGAATTTAAGTCCTAACAAATATGAACTCTTTGAAATTAATTAAAACCACCCAAATGAGAACATGGTCTTACCAAAGTAAGCTTGAAAATTATCTTGCTAGTTTGGGTGTAACTTACCTAACACTTAAATTTCTCACCATGGGTGCATACAAGTAAAGCAGATGGAAAATAGTCTAGAGTTTGACACTTTAAGTGAGGATGTAAAATTAATATAAGTTATGAAGATAATTAACACTAGACAGAAAATATGGCTCAGCAGCAAATGTGCTGCCCAAGTAGGAGGATCTGAGTTCAAATCCCCAGAACCCAAATTAAAAAGGTGGGCATGCCCTCATGCACTTGTAATATTAGTATTTGGGTGAGGAGTGGAGACAGGAGGATTGTTAGAGCTTGCTGGCCCTCAGCACAGCTCCAGGTTATATGAAAGACTTTTTGTTGAGCACATAAGATGGAGTGTGATAGACCAGGACAACCAATGTGCTCCTCTGTCCTCTGTGTGGATGTATGTGTTCACATATTCCCATACACTTATGTATATATACACCAAACACATATAGCATACACATACAATCCTGCCACTCTTTGATCTTAAGATGCACTATGCCCTGAAAACTTGCCCCAGAATTTGAACTTTTCTTTTCTTTTCTTTCCTTTTTTTTTTTTTTTTTTTTTTTGTGTGTGTGTGTGTGTGTGTGTGTGTGTGTGTGTGTGTGTGTGTGTGTGTGTGCTCACGCACCCACGCACGGACAGCGGTATTTAATTGGCTCTCAAACATGGTTTCTACTTAGTAAGGTATGTTTTTTTCTTTCTTTTTGTTTGTTTGTTTATTTATTCATTTCTTTTACATCCTGACTGAAGTTTCCCCTTCCTCCTTTCCTTCCAACCTCTCCCCACCACATCCCCTCAGCCTCCTCCCCCACATCCACTCCTCCTTACTTTCTAATCAGAAAAGGGCAGGCCTCACATAGATATTGACAAGCCACACCTTTTATCTTTCTCAGAACTGCAATTCTGTATTAAATAGCTATAAGTCAGGAGTGAGCCATTAGTTACTTGGTGGCTCTTTGCAGGAAAATGATCTAAATCTTTAAAATATGTGCATTG